TCAGGTGTTCAACCCTATGAAGTGATTGGCTGATGTTATGCATAACAGTTAGAACCAGGTGTTCAACCCTGTGAAGTGATTGGCTGATGTTATGCATGACAGTTTGAACCAGGTGTTCAACCTGATGAAATGATTGGCTGATGTTTTGCATAACAGAACCAGGTGTTCTACCCTATGAAGTGATTGGCTGATGTTATGCATGACAGTTTGAACCAGATGTTCAACCTGATGAAATGATTGGCTGATGTTTTGCATGACAGTTTGAACCAGGTGTTCAACCCCATGAAGTGATTAGCTGATGTTATGCATGACAGAACTAGGTGCTCAACTCTATGAAGTGATTGGCTGATGTTATGCATGACAGTTTGAACTAGGTGTTCAACCCTATGAAGTGATTGGCTGATGTTATGCATGACAGTTTGAACAAGGTGTTCAACCCTATGAAGTGATTGGCTGATGTTATGCATGACAGTTGGAACTAGGTGTTCAACCCTATGAAGTGATTGGCTGATGTTATGCATGACTGTTTGAACTAGGTGTTCAACCCCATGAAGTGATTAGCTGATGTTATGCATGACAGAACTAGGCGTTCAACCCGATGAAGTGATTGGCTGATGTTATGCATGACTGTTTGAACTAGGTGTTCAACCCCATGAAGTGATTGGCTGATGTTATGCATGACAGAACTAGGCGTTCAACCCGATGAAGTGATTGGCTGATGTTATGCATGACTGTTTGAACTAGGTGTTCAACCCCATGAAGTGATTGGCTGATGTTATGCATGACAGAACTAGGTGTTCAACCTGATGAAGTGATTGGCTGATGTTATGCATGACAGTTTGAACCAGGTGTTCAACCCTGTGAAGTGATTGGCTGATTTAATGCATAACAGTTAGAACCAGGTGTTCAACCCTGTGAAGTGATTGGCTGATGTTATGCATAACAGTTTGAACCAGGTGTTCAACCATGTGAAGTGATTGGCTGATGTTATGCATGACAGTTAGAACTAGGTGTTTAACCCTGTGAAGTGATTGGCTGATGTTATGCATAACAGTTAGAACTAGGTGTTCAACCCTATGAAGTGATTGGCTGATGTTATGCATGACAGTTTGAACCAGGTCTTCAACCCTGTGAAGTGATGGCTGATGTTATGCATAACAGTTAGAACCAGGTGTTCTACCTTGTGAAGTGATTGGCTGATGTTATGCATAACAGTTAGAATCCGGTGTTCAACCCCATGAAGTGATTGGCTGATGTTATGCATGACAGTTAGAATCTGGTGTTCAACCCCATGAAGTGATTGGCTGATGTTATGCATGACAGTTAGAACTAGGTGTTCAACCCTGTGAAGTGATTGGCTGATGTTATGCATAACGGTGAGAACCAGGTGTTCAACCCTATGAAGTGATTGGCTGATGTTATGCATGACAGTTTGAACCAGGTGTTCAACCCTGTGAAGTGATTGGCTGATGTTATGCATAACAATTAGAACTAGGTGTTCAACCCTGTGAAGTGATTGGCTGATGTTATGCATAACAATTAGAACTAGGTGTTCAACCCTGTGAAGTGATTGGCTGATGTTTTGCATAACAGTTAGAACCAGGTGTTCAACCCCATGAAGTGATTGGCTGATGTTATGCATAACAGTTAGAACCAGGTGTTCACCCCTGTGAAGTGATTGGCTGATGTTATGCATGACAGTTAGAACTAGGTGTTCAACCCTGTGAAGTGATTGGCTGATGTTGTGCATGACAGTTAGAACTAGGTGTTCAACCCTGTGAAGTGATTGGCTGATGTTTTGCATAACAGTTAGAACCAGGTGTTCAACCCCATGAAGTGATTGGCTGATGTTATGCATAACAGTTAGAACCAGGTGTTCAACCCTGTGAAGTGATTGGCTGATGTTATGCATGACAGTTAGAACTAGGTGTTCAACCCTGTGAAGTGATTGGCTGATGTTTTGCATAACAGTTAGAACCAGGTGTTCAACCCCATGAAGTGATTGGCTGATGTTATGCATAAAAGTTAGAACTAGGTGTTCACCCCTGTGAAGTGATTGGCTGATGTTATGCATGACAGTTAGAACTAGGTGTTCAACCCTGTGAAGTGATTGGCTGATGTTTTGCATAACAGTTAGAACCAGGTGTTCAACCCCATGAAGTGATTGGCTGATGTTATGCATAACAGTTAGAACCAGGTGTTCAACCCTGTGAAGTGATTGGCTGATGTTATGCATAACAGTTAGAACCAGGTGTTCAACTCCATGAAGTGATTGGCTGATGTTATGCATAACAGTTAGAACTAGGTGTTCAACCCTGT